AATGGCCCCACAAGGATAGTAATACCAGTAAATTTTGACCTTGCGGGGAAATTTTTTAGGTCCCCGTGAGGAAACAAGCTTATAAATGATACAGTGTCAATCTAAAAATGTAGAAAGTTTCCTGTAAGGGGTAGGTTTAGGTGTAGGGCAATGGAAAATACAGTTTGTACAGTATAAAAACCATTACGCCTATGGAATGTCCCCATGAAAACGTGTGTGTGTTTAAAATATGGTTAATTTAAATCTGTCATTAGCGTTACATCATTAAACAATGTTTGTGTGAATGTTGGAATATCAACATTTTTTGAGAGTGACCCACATGCCATGTGTGACTCATTTTGTTTGAATATTTCAGAACAACGCCTTAATGAATATACAGTACTGACAAGATGACAATTTGTCTAGTTGCATATTGTGGTTAAATGTCAACCTCTAACACATCTCTTTCCCTTCTCTCCAGTGTACTTCCTCCTCCTCCTCCCCCCTCATGCCCTGGCCCTGTGGGCCTGCACACGCTCTTGCCCTCCCAGCTGCACATGTACCCAGGAGAAGAGCTGCAGCGTCCTGTGTGACCACGTCAACATGATGGACCTGCCCAAAGAGTTCCCCTGCGAGGCGTCCTCCATCAACCTGGACAAGAACAGCATCAAGTTTCTGTCCGAGCGAGCCTTTGGCACCCTGCCTTCGCTCAAGACGCTCTCGCTCAACCACAACAACATCTCCTTCATCACGCCGGGAGCGTTTAAAGGGCTGCCCAACTTGCTGGAGCTCAAGTTGGCCCACAACGAGTACATCCGCTACCTGCACACTCGCACCTTCACGGCACTCGAGCGCTTGGTGCGTCTGGACCTCTCCGACTGTAACCTGTTCAGCATGCCAGACCGTATCTTCCTGGAGCAAATCTTCCTGAAGGAACTGCTGTGCTTCCAAAACAACGTTCGACGTGTTCCCGGTGCCATAAGGGGGATGGAAAACCTCACGCACGTTTACTTGGAGCGAAACAAGATCGAAGCGGTGGCCTACAACTCTTTGTTGGGCCTAACCAACCTCAAGTACCTGAACTTACAGGAGAATCGCATAAACGTGATACACGATGAGGCCTTCAAAGATCTAGTGCGTCTGGAGAACTTCTACCTGAACGATAATCTGTTGGTCGACTTGCCCCAGCAGGCGTTCAAGGGCCTAAGCAACTTAAAAATTTTGAATCTGGGTGGGAACATGTTGACCAATGTCTCCAAAACATGGTTTAGTGACCTGGTGGAGCTGGAGGTGCTGTACCTGGATCGAAACCGGCTGTCCTATATCGAGGGGGCCGCCTTTGAGAACTTGACGAGCCTCATCACGCTGCACCTCAACAGCAACAATCTGACTTCTCTGCCCTTCTCTGTCTTCCAGCCCATCTATTTCATCGGCCGCCTGTATCTATTTCGAAACCCCTGGGAGTGTACCTGCGACCTGGAGTGGTTGAGGGAGTGGATGGAGAGTTATATGTTGGTTAGGGACATTCCTTGTGCATCTCCGTCTTCTGTGGCTGGCTTGGACCTGAGTGAAGTTGTCTATGCTCACCTGAACGCCACCTGTCTGGATCCCCCGGAGCTCAACCTGACCACGTCTCCACGACCCGAGTATTCCACCGTGGAGAACAAGTTCAACAGCCTCATCTCCAAACTTCTACAGCAGGAGCTGAGGGAGGAGATGGTCAACGTCACGGATGGTCTGAGGAACGGCACCCAGCAGGACCCTGCCGAGAGTCAGTTTTCTTCTGGACGTGGACTGTCTGGAGCTCCTCACACTGTGTTTCTTCTTGTGATTCTTTTTCAAGTCCAGATTGACTGCTTTAATGCCTCTTGAGAGTCTGGTGAATAGCGAAAGGGATTGAAGCGCATCCAAAAGTGGAAGTAATTTTCCAGTATGGGAAATGTTTGGGTTTGGGGCCGTGATGAAACGTTTGATCTATCTTGCCATGAGCAGTGGGTTTTCTCATGTTGAAAATGAAATTCTGGCAGATATCATGGAGTTGGAGATGATCATCTCTTTAAATGAATGGAAACTGGTCTTGAAGGGAAAGGAGCATGTTTTAAGCAAATCAGACTGTGAAGGACTTTTGTTTGTTTTTCCAATGCAACGGATTGATTAAAGTACAACCGAAGGCCATTTTGTGAGAACCGCAACTAGTGGCTCGAATGTTTTTATATCATTATTTTTATCTAGATTTGATTTTAAACATCTTAATAACGCATCTATAGTATGAATACGTTTGTGCATGTTCTGTTGTGTAACATTTGTTGTGTAGGAGATTTATCTGATAAAGCTTCTCGCTAACGTTTCACCAGATGGCATGACACGCTGTGCTCTTTTGTTCGGTTCATTGAACTGGGCAAGTTTGCTGTTCTGGAAAATGCATTAGTCCTCCTATTGCGTAAAGCATAAGTGCACTCGGTAACGTAAGCTGCTTCATATTGTAACCAAATGGATTGGCTATATCATGGTGTTTTACTGTTATGATCATTTATCTTCACTATACAGAGCACAACGTGCACAGAATGATGTCATACTCTGAGACAGCAGCTTCTGAGCTACTCAATATATTATCGAAATAAAGTGTAACCGAGATTTGTGTAAGAGACCTAGTAATTGTGCTTTAACACTGATTTTTGTTTAAGTGTGATTGAGATACTTTGAATAAACAAAGATCGTTACATAAATACTCAATAAAATGACTCCTAGGTGCAAAGTTTTGAAAGTGTGCTGCTAAACCACTGAGGTGTTAGTTAAACTTCACAGTGCAAGTCCGGCAGCATTAGGGCTTCGACTCTCAAAATAACATGGTGTTTAGAATCAAATCGAAATGTCAAGATAAAATTATCTCAAATGCATTCATAAAGTTTAGCTCCTTTTTGAAATAATATGCTCTCACGGTACTGCAGCAGTTAATAAAGCAACCTCGTCAGGTTATTCACTTAACAATACAAATAATGGTGCAGTAATTTTTTTTCCAGCTTGAAAGTCTATTTTTCTATTTGTGGTGACTTTATTCAGCTAAAACTGGCCAACTACACTTCAGAAACAAATTTGGCAATGTGTACAAGATAAAGTTCACCATTTCTGTCTCATTTTCATGAAAAACAATTCAAACATGCAAAATCTGGCTCTGGTTTTACATTCCATTGTTTCTGATGAGCTGCCTTTTCTTTTTTTTTAATGACCGCTAAAATCATTCATTTTCCTCCCTGGCCTTTATATCCGTGTCAATCAGGTTTCTGCAGGTGAACGGTGTCATTCATGTGTGTATTTCATCAACTGGGAAGGCAGCATTTCAACCCTCTGTTCTTGACTGTGGCACAAACAGTGATGAGAAGCAGCTCTCTTCAGGAGGAACACAGTTTGTTAGTGAGCTCAAGACGACATACCCCGACCCAGCTGGAGGAAGGTGATGCCAAGTGCCCTTTAGTTGTGCCTCCTGGGATTTGAACGTAAATAAATCCTGCTTCTTTATATGTGACCCTGGACCACAAAACCAGTCTCAAGTAGCAAGGGTATATTTGTAGCGATAGCCAAAAATACATTGTATGGGTCAAAACGATAGATTTTTCTTTTATGCCAAAAATCATTACAATAACACGTAAAGATCATGTTCCATGAAGATATTTTGTAAATTTCCTACTGTAAATATATCAAAACTTAATTTTTTGATTAGTAATATGCATTGCCAATGACTTCATTTGGACAACCTTAAAAGTGATTTTCCTCAATATTTAGATTTTTTAACACCCTCAGATGATGTATAAATCTCAATTTAAAAAAATGTACCCTTATCTGGTCCAGGGTCACATATATGAACATTTATATTTACCTCTATGACAGTACCAAAATACACTACAGTGTTTTTTTTTTAATGAATTCTTTTATTTAGCAAGGATGCATTAAATTGTTTAAAAGTGACTAATGACATTTATAATGTCATAAAATATTTCTATTTAAAAAAAAATTGTTCTTTTGAGCTTTCTGTTCTTTAAAGAATCCTGAATTTTTTTTATCTTGGTTTGCACAAAAATGCAGATGTTTTCAACATTGATAATAATCGTATTGATAATGTTTCTTTATAACCAAATCAGCATATTAGAATGATTTCTGAAGGACCTGGAGTAAGGTTTACAGGAATAATGTACATGTTTAAAAATATTAAAATAAAGTTATTTTAAATTGTAATAATATTCCACAATATTACAGTTTTACTGTATTTTGATTACATAAATGCAGCCTTGGTGAACATAAGAGACTTCAAATAAAAATCTTGAATATTATCGTATTGGAAACTTTACACATGTAGCAGCACACTAGCTCTCTCGGTTTCTATTGCATACAGAAATATGTCCGACACACAGCACCACTGGTCAAGCAAACACCCACTCCGCGTCGCTCTCAGACACATAACTGGGCACTGATCCCGACTGCAGTCACGCAGCGTCAAGCGGGCAGGGCGTGACCTACCACAGCTGCTGGGAAAAATCCGGAAAAACAAAACGGTAAAAGAGGAACCAAAAGTTTTCCATTGGCCCGTCTCTGCCAACTCACACAGAGAGGCCGAGCAAGAGCTGGATGAGCAACACAGAGCAGAAGACACAGAGGAGATCTTCACCACATAAAAGGAAATATATTTAAAAAAAAAGAGCTGCTCCGTCATCGGCAGAGCCATTTACACAGGGCAGTTTGAGTAAACCGTTTGTCATGTACAGAAGCATTCAGATGAACAGACCGTGTTGTCCTTTCGCTTTGCAGACCTCTTCCTCAAACAACTGCACAGAATAAAAATGGGATTTCTGAATCAACATTAATACTCTCAAACGACACATTTCTAAACTCATTTTCATCCAGAACCCCTTAATCTTACAACAAATAAAAATTTAGACCATTTACAAACACATTTTACTACATGATTGGTAAAAATAAACTGTTTACAAAGTTGCCAAAATGCAAGGGATGGGCATAGGTCTTTTTTGTTTCTCTCCTCGTCACCGGCTCCAGCTGTTTGAATGTGTTCATCCAGACGAATGGAATGTTTTCTGCTGTGGGTGACGGTCTGAACACAGCTAACACTGACAGCATGGACGCTCGTCAATGTTCACATGCATGAGATCTCATTCAAATCTCTAAAACATCTATGTGCGTCTTTAGAGAGACAGTATCCACGTGTAGAGGAGGGTGAAATGGGAAAAACGAACCAAAAAAAAGGCAAAGGGTTGAAAGCTGAATCGCAGGGTTGTGCTAAAGCAGCTGGGCTCTGCCGCATGGATAATGTGGGATTATGTATGATGGACGGCTGGACAGATGAAAGCTGTGAGGATTCTGCTGTAGGAATACCGCACTTTCAGTCTGGTACTAACAGAAATATGGGCATTAAAAACTATAAAAATATTCCTTTCAGGAAAATGCGTCATGTAGGATACTGTCTCTTTAAATCAAACGTCTACAAAATGTTGCCTCCTAGCTATATAGACATGACAATATTTAGTCATTTATTTTATAGATTTTTTTCATTAATACAACACTACTTCTAGGTAGTCTGTGAGGGGCCAAGACTGGGCTCACTGCAGGTACATCGATGTTGTTGTTAAACGTCAGAGGTGGGCTTCTGTTTGCATCATGGGAAAGTTGCAAGTTTTTTTTCTTCTTGCAGAGATGCACGCAAAGTATGAGGTTATGAAGGGTGTAAGGTTACAGGTTGATGGGCTTGCTGTTTTAGTAGACCCAGGACACTGGAACCCACTGGGCCGTGGTGCAAACCAGGTCTATGGCTTCCTCCAGGAGCCGAATAGTCTCGTCAATCTCATTATTGATGATGGTTTGGTCAAAATAGTGTGCATATGTCTTCTGGAGGATCTCGGACTCCTTCTGCAGCCTCTGTAATGACTCATCCTACAGCATGAAAGAAGAAGAGTAAGTAAAAGAGATGATGAGAGGGAAAAGGGTCTTTTGAAAGGATAATGGATGAATTCTGATAACGTGCCCATGTAAGAAAATTTCATTTATGATCCTAAAGATATAAACGGAGGATTGGAGAGTTGGGAAGGATGGTACTAGTGTATATATACAATATCATTCAAAAGTTTGGGGTCGGTAAGATTTTTTGTTGTTATTGGGAAAAGGCTCTTTTTCTCACCAAGCCTACATTTCTTTAAAGGGGTCATATGATGCGATTTCAATTTTTCCTTTCTCTTTGGAGTTTTTTGAATCGTCGCTCCGGCCGGAACAGGGCATCACAATGTGGTAAGGGGCGTAACATTTCCGTCACACACTTGGGATATTCGGCCAATCACAACGCACTGGATAGCTGGCACACCAGCACACCTCGCTTTTTCAGACCGATGAGCTTTGTAAAAATCGACGTGTTTCAGAAAGGCGGGGCATAGAGGAGAAACAATAATGTACAGTATGTGGAAAATAATGTGGTTTTTTTTACCTTAAACCGCATAAACACATTTCATTACACCAAATACACAAAATAATGCTCTTTTTAGCAACATCATATGAGCCCTTTAATAATAATGCCAAAGCTGAATTTACAGCAGCCATTACTTCAGTCTTCAGTGTCACATGATCCTTCAGAAATCAATGTTGAAAACTGTTGTGCTGCTTAATATTTTTATTTAGTCTTTTTCCCATCACTTTTGCTAAAATGTAATGCATTCTTGTTGAATAAAAGTATTAATGTCTTTAAAAAATTTAAATTAAATTAAAAATGTTTAAATTAAAAAGTAAAAAAATAAAAATTCTTACTGAACCAAACTTTTAAATGGTAATAAGTACTAAGATGTGGATCAGGGTTTTCTTAAAAACAGCCGTCTGTCCAATTGACCTTAGTTATAAAGGTCATAAACGAAGTGGAACATGTTTGGGAAGAGCTTTGTAGGCACTAGGTTCTAGTTGACCATACTCACAGGTAGCTTTTCCTGCACCATCTGGGAAGCTGAGCGTGATGTGAGGAAAGTTAGAAGAAATTAAAAAACATGCCAAAAAGGTGCATGCAAAAAGAAAGAAAGAAAGAGCGGCTAAAGAAAGATGTAGCTGAATGAAAGAAGGAAGAGAAGTCAGGTGGAGTTGTTCTGCCAGTGAGGTGACAAATGCCATGGCATACTGAGAACTCCTGATCTCACCTCGTTCATGCCGGGAGTGATGGTTGGTGCAGCAATGAAAACCACATAGGGAGCAAATTCAGCTGTCCGTAAAACCTTCAGTGCCTGAGAAAATTTGAACACAAGACTGAGAGTTATTGCACTACATTTCTTATGTCCCCATCATATGTGTCTAAATATATTTGAGATATGATATTAAATTATGATTAAGATGCAATCAAATTTGTCAGTTTTCTTTTAGCACAATATCAGTTTTGAATAATTTCACTTGGATCGGATCATGTTGTTAGTTTTGCAATGCAACTTTTAACTTGAAAATTATTCTAGGTGCTTGTCTAGTTCTTTTTTTCCTCTAACTGAAATTTTTGTCTTAACATCACTTTCCTTTTGTCTTTTCTAACAATAACCGGTTCTCTACAGACTTCATCCTAAAGGGTAATGACATTATTTATGGTATGCAAATGACACTAACATCAATTAGATTTGATTTCATAAAGTTTTGTGGTATTAGATGGTTTATATCAATCCAAAACATTCCATCTGGTTTGATAATATTCAATATAGTTTAAATATCTAAACTACTATCAAGTTGACACTCTAAGATATATCCTAATTCCTCACCAAGTAATGGCTAACTGACCTTAAGTCTTTATTTCCATCTTATTAAGTCTCATCTTAATAGTTTTCTTTGCATAAACAATAAAGTTATAGCAAAGTTTAAGTTCCTGAACTTAAGCAGAACATATTTCTGAAAGTATGCAATACCAAAACTGCATAAGAGGAATGACCTACAAGGTTAATGTTCAACTGTCTTCTAGGGCAGTTAAAGGTTCACCTGTGGCTCTACATCCAGTATGGCTACGAGTTCCTGCTCATGGATCTTGCGTATTGTCTCCAACCGCGTGCCGTACATCGCGTCCTCGTGGCTGCCGTACTCCAGGTAATCGTTGTTGGAGATGTCCTGCATCATTTGGTCGTGGGATACAAAGAAATAATTCTTGCCGTTCTCTTCATCTTTCTTTGCAGGTCTGGTTGTGTCTTTTGGGGCAGAAATGAGTTTGAGGTTATCAGTTGAGCAGTAACCAATCGTGTGGACTGTTAGAGACAGTGATTTGGGAATGTTTCTTACGTGGAATGGGATAAGCAAATCTGTTTGGGTGTTTGGTGATGAGTGTGTTCTTGATGTGTCTTCGGCCAACACCGTGAGCACCTGCCAGTCGACAACAAACCACACATGTAAGAGACATGCTTCATGCCAACTAACAAAGGTAAGATGTGGATTTAAACCAAGATCTACATACACACCTAGTAAAACTAATGTTTTCCTCTTGAATGCTGGCAACTTCACTACTTCCTCATATGTAACCAGATCTAGTTGATCAAACACTAAAAAAAAACAAAACGCAAGATTGTTATTTAATAGTAGGGAGAGATTGACCTTAAATTTCAAAAACGGTTTGCTGTTGTCATTAGACTACCAAAAAACAGTTTTAAAGTAAAAAACAAATGTGGAATCTTACAAAGGAAAGGGGGATGTTTTTGGGTAATTTGTTCTCTGTTTTCATTGGGACTATGAGGACTGCATGTGTTTTGGCTGTTTATGTAATGCTACAGGCCTGATGGGGGATTTGATACTGTGTCTGACTGACATTCAGTCTCCACTGCAGCAGAGTGGCTTCATGTATCAGTGTGTTCAAATGCAGCACAGAAGCCGAGCTGAGAAAACACATCCCAGCCGCTCACACTTGGCATTTCTGCATATTCAAACTTGTCACCGATGTCAAACATGGAGATATTTTGTATGCACATTTCCTCTATTTTTACATTTTACATTACCATTGCCATCATCTAATGCACAGTTAATCTTTAAAAACACTATGAATTTAATAACACTTGTTAACACCCTACATTATAATGTAATTATGCTGAAATTTACTTGCAGCATTTAAAATGTTTGATTTTACGGTTTTGTGTTTTTTGGGGTCTGTATAAAATGTTTTTGAAAGAAGTCTTATATTCACCAAGGCTGTATATATTTGTATAAAAATACAGTAAAACAGTAACATTGTGAACAATTATAACAATTTAAAACGACTGCTTTCTATTTTAATATAGTCTAAAATGTAATTTATTTCTTTGATGGCAAACCTGAATTTCTAGCAGCAACTACTTCAGAAATCATTCTTATATATCTTACGGCCTCCTAACTTTTGAACAGAAGTATATTTATCCAACAAAATCTATAGTGAATGTGCAAAGGAAAATTAAGAAGAAGAAGATTATCAATTAGATTTCAGTCATCACACAAAGCCATGATTGTTGCATGGACTACTTCTATAGTGCTTTTTGCAGTTTTTTGGTCACTATGAATGGAAAAAAAGCAGCATGAAACCTGTTAATTTTCACAGTTAGATACTGTCACTAGTAATGCTAGCATAAAAATGAGAAAACGTCTGATGGGCTAAAACGATGATTCCTCTGAAATACGACTGCTCTAAAGGACAAAGTATCATTTATTGCTATTGTGAACTTCCACAAAGGTATATCACTTAGCCTTTTCTACCACAGTGTTTCGGTTGCATAATGAGTAAAACTGGCTGCAGTGTGCATGCGGGGGGTGTTTTGGGGTAGACCGCATTGGTGTGTGCAGGAGACGGTGAGTTGACTTGGCAGTGGGAAACGTGAGCCATTTGTGTCATTTCCACGTGAAATGTGATTTCAGCACTCATCTCCCTCTATGAATAGATGCCTTAAATGATTCATGCACCTCTTTCGCTTGACCTTGAGTATGCAGCTCTATATATGTAGGATGTTTAATGGATTTGCACACAGAGAAGCCTCATTTTGTACTGTGGATCAGTGGATATAGGTGCATAGGGTTCAGACAGAGAATACAGACTTAAAAATAAACTAAAAACACAAAGCACAACACAACAAAGTAAACCACGAATACCACACAAACATCAAAAAAGATCTTTGTTCTGTTGATTGAGAAAAATGGAGGTTGCTAATAGGCAAAGATGGTTTCGGGGTTAATAAAATCACCACAGCAAGGGGATTGAGTAAGACGGAGACAGACAGAGAAAGAGAGAATTAAGCACAGAGGCTGTATGGCACAGCAACGCAGTTACTTACATGCACAGAGGCCATTGGTAGATAGACAGCATGTAAAATGGACAGGGGAGGGGGGTCATTGAGTTATGGCTCAGTTAACAGAACATCAGTAAACAAACACAACAACAAGCACGCCCAAAGCTGTGATGCTCGAAGCACAGAGACATGATGGCCATCTGTGAGCTCGGGTTGCTCTGGATGGGGCGCTTTCACAGCATGCGAGACGGCGCTGCTCTGAACAATGAAACATGCCTCTGACATTCACAGCAATGCACTTGCATATCAAGGCTGGAATCTGAAAGCTGCAATTAAAGTGCGGAATTAAGAGGTTTTTCTGATAATCTGCCCAAGTATTATCATTTGCGGTCACAGTATGAATAATGTTCTATTACAGCAATGCTATACATCATGACATATGTGGACATGTGTATATATTACATAAGCATGTGGTAATGCCTATTCATAATCCAGTGAATTAAAAACTTGGCAGATAAAAGCTACATAATATTATTTAATTATTATTATTTTTTCTGAACTTGTCACACAAACCAACAGATCATATTATGTGATAGTCATGTCTACCACAGAATAAGCAAAGGAAAATCTCTACTGGCTGACACATTTCTACCATCCATCTGTATCATTACAGCTCTCCTTGCTATATGGTTACTAGAATGTTGCTAGATGGTTTCTTAGAGGGACAATTCAAGTGTCCACCACCAAACCCACCTCCTTCAGTGTTCATGCATGTATACATTAAAGTTCCAAAATTTGGGCTCTGTAAGATTTTGTTTTTGAAAAAAGTCTCTCATCCTCACAAAGGTTAAATTTATTTGATCAAAAATGCAGAAAAAATATTGTGAAATATTACAATTTATAAGAATTGTTTGCTACATTAATGTATTTTAAAATAGAATTCATTCCTGTGATGGCAAAGCTGAATTTTCAGCAGCTATTACTCCAGTGTTCACATGATCCTTTAGAAATTGTCCTATTATACTGATTTGGTGCTCAAGAAACAAACATAGGATCAATGTTGAAAACTGTTTAATTTTGTGGAAACCATGATACTACTACTTTTTTTTTTAAAACATCCTCTGTATTTAGTTTTCTAAATTTGGCACAGAAAATTCCAACAAAATTAGTTTTCTCTTAACGGTTATCATGTACAATTATATTTTGACATATACATTAACATCTTAACACAAATAAAGGTATGTGGTGAAAGGGAAAAAAGGAAAGAAGAAAAAACAAGTCATGGTGGTGGGGTTAGGGTACAAATCTAACCTTTTCAAGTTAATGGTGCTGCATAACGATACTTCTTTTTTTAAAGATTCCTTAAAAACAGCATTTATTTGAAATAGAAATCTTTTGTAACACTAAGTGTCACTTTTGATCATTTTTTTCACTTGTCACTTTTGATCATTTTAAAGTAGCCTTGATTTATAAAAACATTAATAAAAAATAAAAAAAACACCTATTGATCCCAAACTTTTGAACAGTGGTGTATGTTCTGTGTATGTTTTTTCTGTTTAATTTTCATCTGCCAGGTGAAAATTGTAAATTCAATCACTGTGTCAACAAACCTGAGACAAAATAAAAACAAACATAATCTAGTAGGTTTTTAATGATACAATGAAAAGTGGATTTAGATGATGTGTGTCAATGCTGAAATTACTAGGATTGAACAGAATAAAGGGAGGAGCTAACAGGACATCAAAACTGTACACACACTGAGCTAAGCCACAACTGACCCCCTTCTGCTTTCACACATAACTGAGAAAAGCACTTCCTGGCCTGTAGATACACACCTATTTAAATAGAGGTCTATTTTCTTTATAAGCCTGTTGGTGCAATGTTGTTTTTTTGTCTCGCAAAGATGAAATTCTCCTTGTGAAAGACAAGTCCTTACCAACTGCTTCCTATTGGAAAATCCCCAAACATATGCTTCCTATTTCCCTTCCTAACCTGATCTGAACCTGCACATTATAGCTGGAAAAGCCCAAAGCACAACTGTAACAAAGCTCCTTGCCTTAGACAAACCCCACAAAATCAAAACAGTTTTAGACAATTAAACAATCCTGGAGGAATTTGGACGAGACCTGAAAAAAGGCCGTAATACCCCAAAGAGTCCCATTTCCTGCCTCACTGGCTAAAGCCTGTGTTATACTTTCCGCATGAGCAATCCAGACGCGTACACGGACAGCGCGGACGCGGACTACTTGTATTTATACTACCAAAAGCATACGTTGATGGTCCGCTCCGCGGACGTGTTCCATACATGCGCAGTAGATAGGCTTGAACAGTAAACAAACATGTGAACAAACAATTGCCCACAGTTATTGCACATCTGACTGTCTTTATATTGTTTTATCGACGGATTGTACAGGTCCGAGTAGCAACGGGCTTCTAAACACAGCCTGCGCATGCGCAGTTGGTGCTTTTGTAGCCTACTGACCGCGTACTTGTCCGAGCGGTCACAAAAAATGGGAGGCACGCGGATGTCCGCGCAGAGCCTCCACGCACACTCTCCGATGACGATTTTTACGTCACGCATACCATAGCGGACCCTAGCGGACTCGCGCACGCGGAAAGTATAACACAGGCTTGAGTGAGCTCAAATCAGACTCGGTAAAGTGGGGCACTGGGCTCAGGAGGGATTATGTCTGATCTGCGCTCCCCGCCGCTGATGGACTTTGCCATTAGTACAATGATAAATCAAAGCTAATCATTAAATTTCACCAAAACACATTGCAACACTACGAATTCTAAGCATGCACCACCACTCAAAATTGGGGATTCGGGGCCGGTAAGGTTTTTAAATGTTTTTTAAAGATGTCTCTTATGCTCACCAAGGCTACATTTATTTGATAAAAAATACAGTAAAAACAAAAATACTGTGAAATATTATAACAATTTAAAATGACTGTTTTCTGTTTTAATATATTCTAAAACACCATTTATTCCTGTGATGTCAAAACGGATTTTTCAGCATCATTACTCCTGTCTTCAGTGTCAGATGATCCTTTAGAAATCATTCTAATATGCTGATTTGGTGCTCAAGAAACATTTCTTATTATTATTCATGTTTAAAACAGTTGTGCTGCTTAATTGGTGGTGGTTGAGGAGATTCCCCCCCTTTCATGTAAAGCGCTTTGAGTACCCAGAAAAGCGCTATATAAATGTAATGAATTATTAATTATTATTATTATTAATTTTGTATAAACCGTGATAGGATTCCAGCTAAAAAAAACCCAGCATTTATTTGCAATAGAAATATTTCTATTATAAAAAGTTTTACTGTCACGTTTGATTAATTTAATGTGCCTTTCTGGATAAAAGCATTCATTTCTTTGTAATAATAAAAAAAAAATCTTACTGACCTCAAACTTTGGAATGGTAGTGTACCTGCATTATAAACTGTGTTCAGAAACACTGCATAACGCAACAATGCAAAATCAAGGTTGTGTAGCTAGAAGTGTTTGAATTGACATACTTGCACAGAATGAGTTTCTGGCTTTATGATTCAGTGGAGTCATCGTCACTGTGTCTACAGTCTGAACTAACAAATCCACCTTTTGGGAAGCTCACCTTTAAACTATTCCACACCACTGGGGAGATCTTGACAAGAAGGAACGATGGCATCATTTAACATCCTGTGTGTTCGAAGGTAGTAACCTGACCCTGTGATAGCTAGTACTGCAGACTGAAGCAGGACCTAAATGACTCGCTTATATAAGATGTTAAAAGCGGTGGGGTTCACCATGCTTCTAATGAGATCATGTAATTGCTGCCTTTCATAGTGTCAGGATCGATTTATATAGAGATCGTAAAATTTGCATCCAGTCACAGTATATCTGAAAGCAGGAGGAGTACATCCGAGAGCACATACACAGGTGCATCTTCAGTGGAGGCTGTGTGTTGGTTTAGACCTGAAGCCATGATGAACACATGAACTTCACCATGACATATGAGTTACCCATATTAAAGACACTTTTTTCTCTCCCCCGGCCCTTTCAACCATACACGATTACGGAAAACATGGGCATCTCACTTATGGCTTTGCATTCCCCGTGAGAACACACACATAAACGCACTTGTTGCATAGTGGTATATATATGCAGGTGTGCTCATCAGCGATAACGACCCAGGTTTCCACTGTGGATGGCTTTAATGAGCCCCTTTGGTACTTGAAGCAAAATGAAAGACTCTTAAGGGACTGTTTGGTCAGGGAACAGCAGGCAGAACCACACACAGCTACTTGGCTATGTATTGGCACAAGTTACCCTGCTATTTGTGGAAATGCTGCAGTCAGGACCTCGGGTTATTTGAGCTAGACAGCACAGGGCCCTGTTACCTGCCCATACCTACCACTAGACACACAGAGACACTCCCTACAGCCTCTAAACTACAGTTTGAATCATTCAATGAAGACGTTGCTAGCAACATCTGCTGACAACCATCCCATGAGGGTAAAGTCTGCTGTCTCTGAAAAGCAGGAACTAATATAAACATAATACTAATTATAGACTGTCACTGATGTAAAAAAGACATATATGCATTCTTCCTGACAGTGTTAGCAATAGCCATCAACAACAGTGTTCTCTTGTGCTTCTGATCATATGACTATCTGACAACAGTAATTATGTATTAAAAACAAACAAACAAACAAACAAACAGTCAATTCTAGCATTTGATCATCAACAAAGAGAATAATTTACCAGGTCATTCTATAAAGTGGATCTCGTATGAGCCTCTTTTTATTACTTTATTTTTTGCTTTGATATGTTTGTCAGTAATGGACTAATCTAAATATGCCAATCCTGTTACTAATATTTTTGTATAGTAAACAAATCATAGTTAAAAAGTAGATATTTATTCATTCAAATACCAGCATTAAATTCTCTTTTTGAAAAGTGTGTCATTTTAAGAGTGTAATTTCAACTTACAATACTTGTAATAAATGTCAAATTAAATTTGAAAAACTGTTGTCTTTCCGAAGACAATCACTACTGTTCATCAAAAGTTTGGGGTTGGTAAGTTTGTTTTTAAAGGTTTTGATGCTCATAAGTTTCTTTTATTTGATTAAAAAAAATTGTAAAAAAAAATTGTGAAATATTATTACAATTTTCTATTTTAATATATATATTACAATACATCTTTTAGGAAAATTCAAAAGAACTGCATTTTTTTAATAGAAATCTTTCTAACACACCATAGAATTTTGGCAAATAAAAGTATTTTTTTGATCTTACTGACCCCAAACTTCAGAATATACTGCATACATATACCACAAGCTAAATAAATTAATATATAATATAAAACAATATATGCATGTTATATACTGCATAATTTTTATAATAAAATGTATTTATTTTAATTAATGGCACAATGCAACATTTGCAACATTTATCTGGTAGAATGCATAAAAATCTTATTACATTTTTATAAGATCCTATGCATTCTATCAGATAAATGTTGAATAATATATTGATTTATATTATATATTAATTTACTTCTAAGTAGAAAAGGCAGTAATTTTATGAATGACCTTATAGTGTTTTACACACTTATCTTGACAAATATTTGCTAAAAAGGCAGCAAAGTTCTTAAAAGTGAATGCTTATCATTAATCAATACTTGTTTACATCTCCCTGAGAGCTGCTATTTTTTGTGATGTCATACGCCCACATCAGTGTTAGAAGCCCATTCGATTTTACTCTTGCTTACGGGGGACATAAAGATTACTAATTAGATCTCCAATAAGGAAGAGCTGATCGACCAAAATCTAGTTATTGTCTGTATGAAGAGAGAGGGAAGGTGCAGAAAGCCCATCGGAAACTCTACCTGCGTTGTGCTTTGCTAGGTATTTGTCTTTGTACTGCTTTTTTTTCTTGCCAAACCAAGTACAGCTTGCCTGCTGTTCTTGCTTGGTTTTCTCCATGGCTATACAGGCCACCCGCCTAGAATAAAACAAACAAAAGAAACAATTAGATGAACATGTGGTTAGTGTGCAGCATATCTGTTAGCCTTGATGATAGCACATCTTCGAGTGCTTTTAAATCGTATTGCGAGCGACTTGCATTGTACTGTATCTTCTTTCCCTCTACTCTCAGCAGCAGCCAATCACAATCTTCTGGTTTTCATCATACAAACAAAAGAAACGATTAAAGTGGTCATTCTCCTCTAGGAAAGAACCTAACTCACCACTCCTGAAGTTCAGGTGAGGGAATCAGTCCTGCTGTGCCATTCTTGGTGTTTTCCAGCTTGCCTTGCCACCAGTTATGGTCATCTTTGTTGATAATCTGGATTATGTCACCCACCCTGAAGCGAATCCCTGCCTCTTTACAGGGGATGAGGTCATCCTTCACCGGATCATACTCGAACTGCGCCCGTACATAGATCTGAGAAAAGACATAATCAGTCGAAGTCAGAAAAACCCTACAGTGGCACAGACACAGCACAGGAAAGGACTGACTGATAGAGGAGGTCAGGGTACAAGAGGAGGTTAAGGTGCAACTGGAGGTCAAGGTACAAGTGGAGATCAGGTTTCAGTTGAGATGATAGGCATGCTTGGCTGAAGCAGCACGGTATGAAAACTGAGCACGTTGGCAAACAGATGATGCATGTAAGTATGCATGAGAGTGAGTTATGAGTCCTTGCTGGACATTTAGTGCAGTTGGGTACTGAACTGCAGTCTGAGGGTAGAGTGGTGTGTGACTCCTGGATTAAAAATAAATGACATTGAATTGACTGAAAGGGGCCTTTAAGTACAAACATTGCAAAAATCGAGCTTAACGTTATATTTTCCAAGAATCGCACTGGTGATGTAATTGTTCTTGAGTCCTTGCTACATTTGGACTTAAATGGTACACAACATTTTTTTCAGAGCAGTGGGTTGGGCTCATTCTTCAAAATCTTACCTTTATGGAAAATGTATCCTTGATTGGAGGTCTGGAGATCTAGGGCATGAGAGTATTACAAACATCATGCAATATCACGGCACTGTGGCGGCATTAATACGGCACTGTTACTGGGGTTGGTGAGATGAAGAATGCAGCTATAAATCTAACGTTCAGAAAAGTTATGGGCTGATAAAAAGGAACAAAGCAGGGTGGAGATATCAGTCATATATATCACTCTGTTCTCATCACTTGTAACATAGCAGATCATTTCCAGCGCTCAGTGATGCACTTCAGCCAACACAGATGGACCCGTGCTGGCAGATGGCGCCCTCTGCTGATTGTATGTCTCCCTTTCTACTTCTCATCCTATTAGGACACAATTCTTAAAGGCAAGGACTAGAGATTAGAAGAACAAATTGTGATGGGCTCTCTGATTCCACATTCTCAGCTTTGATGATTTGCAGGGTAATTTAGATGGATGTAAGAGGAAACACACACCACTCTGTAGCCCAGGGCAAGTAGAAAAGCATGAGACTACACGGGGTTAGGATAAGACAGAAGCATGTTCTTGATATTTTCTCAACTGGTTCAACGCATAGAATAACCCATCTGTAAGAATAAAAATTAATGTTAAAACGATAATCCCCTTGAAATTTATGTAAACTTTTAAAAAACAGCATAAATAACAATATCTTTGCATTTACAGTCTTGTTGTTGAGTAAGTGCAATGCAATAACACTACAACCAAGTCTGTCTGTAGAGCAGCTAATGGTGAATGGTATTAGTACAAAAACTGATAGAGAAAGCAGGATGTTAATAGCGGTGAATCACTAACTTGTTCATTCAATCTCAAGCACAAGAGCAGTGTGGAAAAGCACTAGTCAATAGAGGGTGCTAAGACTGATGGATGCTCTATTCACCTGACGTCCTATTGGCTGCATGGTTGACGGCAAGTCCTGTAAAGCAAAGCCCAGCAGTGAAAGAGAGACTGACCATTTACAGAGGAAAGACAGGACTCATGAAACAATTAAATAACAATTAATAACGATAACAATGAAAAGAAATATACATTCAACAAAACATAACAATAAATCTGGTTAAAACCACTAGGGGCAATGCTAACTCCACAAAGGAGGACCACAAGTTACTTCATTTGTTAAAAGAGAAGAAGGGCTGTTGAGGGTAAATCTCAGAACAGCAACACACAAGAAAGCAAGGAGCAAGCAAGCAGCTTCAGCACCGTACTCCATTCAAGCATGTTCATGAGGTGGAGACTAACCCCCCTCTATGAAGAACACCAAGTGGGTTCCACTGGGTCTATAGCAGGGGTGAGCGATATTAGCAAACGTTATTTCAAATTTTGGCCGGTCAAAATATATATTTACAGAGTTTATTTAAATTTTACAAAAAAAATAATTATGTAAACAAGTATAAAAGCAGGAAAAGGCAACAAAAGCAGCTTACTGTACATTTATATTTATTTTTTTGCAAGAATATTTCAATGAAATAATTTAATAAATAAATATTTATTAATTATTATTGTGTATTATGGTACTTACAGTAATTTTATGTTTTCATTGAATCTGAATATTTTAAATAAATACTTGTATTTTATTGATGAATTTTTTTTCTGCTTAGAATATTTTTTAAGAATATATCCATATATCTAAATGCATAAATAAATACATTCCACTTCCCAAAACTTTTGCAAACTTAACTAGTAGGAAAGTTTGACAGCATAAGAGTAACTAAAAGGGACAGGGCTTAGTGGAGTCCCATTCTCGACCACATAGTACCCAACACAATAGTCAAAATGGATATTATTTGATTTTTTTATATTGATTTATCATGTCAAATCAATATAAAAAATTGCCCACCCCTAGTTCATATGCAGTGCTAATGTAGATCTCACTGCATTTTGTTAGAAGTATGCATGCTTTTTATTTATGCTAGGAATCCTTTGCATGCCTCCATTGAGTTTGGTCTAATCCATGTGCTTGCTGTCAACCACAATACATCACTGGTAACAAAGAGAAATTAAAAAGTATAATAGTAGATCCCACGTCCACTGTACAGTGTTCCTGGGACCCCACACTGTATTCACACTGGCAGTCAGTGAGAGAGCAACAGCAGCACAGAGCACACCAATTTGCGAACTGAGATAACGGAAACTATGTTCAATGGATGTTAGCCGCTGTCTTGCTCAGTCTTTGCATTTGTGGTTTATTGAGATCGTCAAAATATTCTAGTGAAATATATAAAAACAAACTGGAAAAACAAAACAAAACCATAAAACTGGACATTACACAAATTTAATAACATTTGGTGCAAATTAAGAGGGTATGACTGCAAGAACGGGGTGAAATAATCACAAACAACATTAGGAGATTGTTGGGGGTGGGAAGGGGGTCGTTATTTGAGGTTGCCTGGGATCCTTACCAAGATAGAACTGTTAATGCTGGAATGGCCATTAGCAGGGGACTGTCTGGAGGTGGAGGGGGATTCTTTCTGTAATAAGATATAAAGGTTAGCGAAACAGCAGAGCAAACGGACACTAGCCAACACTGCGGTAAGAAATTGGGGACATCATGTAAGGGAAACCAAAAGATTTGCTTGAGATTAAAGTTATTAAACAGACATTTTAAAAGCATGGTAATGTTACAGATACCAAAGCAAACATGTTTTGATCATCAGACCGCATTGCAGCTTCCCACCAGAAGGGGGAGCCAACAGAACTGCCTAAATGTAAACATCTTCCTTGAGAGATTTACTGTGTGAAGGAACTCCAAATGAAATCGGACCACTTTAATTTCAATATCCTCTCAGTAGTGTGTTACGGCAGGGGACTGTTATGAAAAATGTATTTCTGTAACCAGCACGGTACAGAGTCACTTTTAAATTGCAAATAATGCTGCAACACTGTCTGTGAACATTCTCACATTGTACATCTAAACTTCCCTCAACACCGGTAATATGTAAGCTAGGGTTCCGGTATCTTGGTTGTGAAATTGGTGTGCGGTAGGGTCTGAGCCAGGCCTTTTGGTTCGGCAGGATGGAGGCTTTTGGGGAGAAAAGCGTTAACACGCAGCCATCAGGCAGGCAGTTAGTCACACAAGAATCCAAGGCAATCAAACCCCACCACAAAAGGCCACGACAGGCCAGGGAGGCAAACCACAGCACTGCAGAGAGAGGAGACTGGCAGAGACAGAGCAGAGGACAGTGCAATGGCTACGGAGTTCATTACCTCACAGGGCGACTGCTGTGTGCGGTAGCTTGGCACAATCTTAAAGGTGATGCTGCCTCTCATTTCCCGCTGTCAACAGAAAAACAAAAAGCAAATTATTAAGAAAGGGCATTTTTACTGGATCATGTCTATATATCCTCATATCGGTCTTTTTTTCAAGGAACAATGGAAAAAGTAGACGATAAAACACAAATGGGCACAGAATGGAAAAAGTAGACTGTGTTAATCTGCATTAATCTAAGTGATAAATGTCTGTGGCCATTTTTAAAATGAAACCAATGTAACTTGGTTATTTTAGATGTGTCTTTTGTTTTATTTAACTGTAATCATGATAGCTGCACTGCAACGCTTATGCCTCGAACATTACACCCATTTACTGGTTGCGGTCTGTAAGTCTGGACATTTTGCTGGATACCTCAATGAAAGTATAAAAATCATAATTCAAACAACTTGAGGGTGATTAAATGGTAACAAAATCGTAACTTTTGAGCTGAAAATACACAAGTTCCTACTCACAAGCATCTTCTGAAGCTGCTCCACCGTTTGATTTGCTACACTTATGCCATTGATCTCCCGGATCTCGTCTTCAACATGCAAAGTTCCTAATTTGTGACAAAACAACATTTTAAATGCATCAATATACATCACTAGTCTTACAACCTTCATAAATTGAAAACTTGACAACATTAACTGCATGAGATTTAATATAAGCTTGTCCCACTTGCATGCATGTAGGAGATAGTTGTTGATGGCATGTGTGTGTGGCATGTGGGTAAAGGCTTGTACATCAGTATCACGTTTCTGCCAAGTTCTAGGAGATTGTGCAATCTGACCATCACGGGGTGACGGCACAAGCCCTCAAGCCTGCCACATGTGGCAACCCAATATGGGTTGAGGGGTTTGTGAAGAATAATGGGTTGCATCTCTTTCCTATTAATTCATCATGTGTTTATGGAGATAAAGGAGAAATACAAGATAGATGGCAGTGTTGGGTGAAGTTTTGAAGGAAAAACCATCTGGTGCATGTACCTTGTCTGTGGATCATTCCTCCATGCATTATTCTTGCCACGATGCAATGGTTCAGGTCGTTCATTTTCAACGTGATACCCTGAAACAGTGCCCACAAACTCATTTAAAACCACAGTGATGAGAACGAAGCTTTCAGGAAGTTTGACTAACAAGTGGATATAAAATGTAACCACTGTGAGAGATTAATCAACACCACCATCAGCTCAGGGTGACAAGATGTGTGCCAAGCCTCAAAACACAGGATATATGATGTGCAGAGCTTGCATTTGCACACTTTGAAAGTGGACCACAAGAAACTGTTGTCATGTTCATGTTATGCAGTCTTTAGGTTTATATATGTATGTGTACATGTACAATGAATGTGTGAACTCATACCATCGGTTCATCAGTGTTTTTCTGGAACTGAACCAGGCGCACTCGTGTAACGTTCTCTATGTCCATGTCTCCGTTCGTGCTCTCAGGTGAGTCTCCGTTGAGATATGGTGATGTGGGGGGTGGGGTGACCCTCAGTGCCTCGTCACTGTATACCTCATGTGCCACAACATCATGAGTCTGAAGTAAGGCCTGAAAAAGAGTGATAAAGAGTGAGATAGTTTCACAAACACACAATAAATAATCTTATACATATCACCTTAGCAATCACAGAACAATGCTTTAGTAACCAATCAAGGCATCAAGCTGTGCAAATACCCTCACGTTTACACTACTGTGGAAAAGTTTGGCTTCAGTAAGATTTTTCATTTTTTTGAAAGAAGTCTCTTATTCTCACCAAGGCTGTATTTATTATGATCAAAAATACAGTAAAAACTACTATCTTGAAATATGATTATAATTTAAAATAACTGTTTTCTATATAAATATATTTTAAAATGTAATATATTCCTGTTATGGCAAAGCTGAATTTTCAGCAGCCATTGCTCAAGTCTTCAGTGTCACATGATCCTTAAGAAATCATTTTAATATGATGAATTAATATGATTTTTTTTTTAATTGTTATCAACGTTGAAAACAGTTGTGCTGCTTAATATCTTTGTGGCAACGGTGATATATTTTTAAGGATTCTTTAATGAATAGAAAGTTCAAAAGAACAGCATTTATTTGAAAATGAATTTTTTTTTTTAAATCAATGTAAAAGTATTTACTGTCACTTTTTAATCAATTTAATAAATCCTTGCTGTTTAAAAGTATTAATTTCTTTCAAAAAAAAAAAAAAAATCTTACTGACCTGACCCCAAACTTTGAACGTTAGTGCACAAATCTAGTTTATTATCATGCTTTATGACTGGTGCCTGCCTTCCTAAAAATCAAATGTAATAGACTTCAGTAACATTAGGTAAATTTTTCTCACCAGCTCATCTCATCCTACTATCATGTGTGCAATTATGAGAGTGTGAGAAAAGCATCAAGGGCAATGTCATGCTGGAATTCAACAGCTAGTACCTGCTGGTACCTCCCTCCTCTCATGTGTTTTTTTCTTTTCTGCCCCATATCCCCCCACTCTTGACCTGACATTCAGAGTTAGTGAGGCTGACATCACCCCAGTCTCGTTTTCTCATGCATGAGCTCCTTTTTAACCCCTTCCCTCTTTATTTCTCTCAGTTCTGTAGTAAATCCCCAGTTCAAGTGGAAGTAAAAATGATGTAAAAAGCCCCCAAATAAGTCTCTTGCAGTCTGGATCATGCCAGAAACAATTTTAATTAATTTCACTCAGTTCCATGCAACATTATTTGACTCCCACACAGAATCAGATTTTCCTATTTTTCTACTTTTAATCTTACGAACGATTCTCACCCTCACCTCTGACTGAAAGGTAAACCTGTACAATTATATCATATTAAAGTATCAATAAATGGTCTTTTTAGACTGAAAATGTTGTTTCAATTTTGAAAGTTAGAATATGTTTTCTGTTTTATTTGAAAGATCAAGGATTTTATTCCTCATTATACAACCTCTGAAAATAAAATTAGACACCAAAAAAAGTGTGGAACCTTTAATCAACTAAGCCTTTAGATGAACCTTATTGACAAACAGTCAGTTTAGAGCGAAGGGCAAACTCTCTGCTTCATCTGTCATGAGGTTGTCTGTCCCACTGATAAAAACACAGAATTAATGCTCTGAACACAGATGACAAACAAACACCTCATTGATTACAGAAGAGGATTACAGAAAAGCAATGCAAAGTCTGAGATGGTGAAACATCAAGACCGCTGACAACGTCCGGAATAAATAGATCCAACACATAAAGCCTCATAAAGAAGTACAAGTGCTCTAATTAAGCTCTCAAAGATAGTTTTGCTGACAGAAATTTTATCAAGCTTGAAGACTCCACTTTTGTTGTTTCACTGCACTTCATGATGTTAGCAGTGCAGTCGGACACTACAATGATAATGAGGATCACTTTGAGATTCCTAAAGTTACTTCTGTAACAGTTGAAAACAGTTGTGCTGCTTAATACTTTTGTGGAAAACCATGATACAATTTTTTTTTCAGGATGCTTTGATGAATAGAAAGTTTAAAAGAACAGCATTTATTTTTTTGAAATGTCATTACTGTCATTTTTAGTCAGTTTATTATGTTGTTGCTGAATGAAATTATTATTAATAATAAAAAAAAACACTTTGATTGTTAGTGTATTTCCAACAGTATACTAAAAGTTAGGGTGGGAATCCATTAGATGGTGAAAAGTGGGCAATTCATACCTCAATGTAACCAGAGCCAAAGTAAAACAATGACTAAACAGATATTTGGCTATTGGCTACTATTTTATCAAATAGCCAACACAAGTGACGCCAGCATAAAAAAAAGATGTTTCAGAGGAAAAACAAGGTATAACATTTTGATTAAATATTACAAGGAATAACATGCACAAATCAATTATTCACAACAAGACCAGGAAGTGCATTAAGAAAGTAAATAGGGTTCATTTAGACTTCATGTTGACTTTAAGGTGTACTGTAAAGAGATTAACAACAGAACTAGCACTGTGCTGCTGTGACTCACCATGAAATGGGGCTGGGTTAGAATCCGTCTCAGTTCTTTAGCGTCTGCATTCTCCGGGTAGCATGAAATCTCCTCCAGTACCTACAGACAGACAGAGTCATCAGGCTTTTCCTCAGGCTGTCATCTCCACGCTATTTAATTCTTGAAGTAAGTAAAGATGTTGCTTTTTCATCTCGTACACTGCAACACGACTTTGAGCTGGACTGCTGAGACCCCACACATCATATATCAGAAGAGACACACACGCAAACATTTCTGGCATGACCCTTAGACCCCATGTGACCAATCAGCACTGCTGTCTGGGCTCATTTGGCCCTTCCAATGGCGGGGTGGGACGGGTCAGGTGGGAGGGGGTGATTTGGCACAGTACTGCGGATATGTCACAACTCCCTGCTGAATGCTGCTGAGCGCCGGATCCTGGACGTCTTTTGAACCACACTAATCATCTCTAATGAGCTCTAATCAATGTTCAAACCAACCTGGCAGCCCCTCACTGCCAGTCAACATCACTAAATGTAAAGCTCAGACATTTACAAGAATCCTAGAAATTTCCACATGTTCTACAAAAGTGGTAAAAAAATAAGTGGACATAAAATGTCTGCAGCTTACATATTCCAGATGTTTCAAAGCCGTGCTCGACCCGTCTTCGGCGGAGGTCTTAGCATGAGAGACACACACAGGAAAGTTTTATAACATTTGATACATATAGTCTGTGTAAGAAGCAGCAGAGTCGAAGGCTGAATTTTTAGAGTTAGGCACTATGCCGCCTCCGCAAGTTTCAGTCTCTCTGGGAAAACAGTGAGAGGTGATGGGTTAGTTTCCGCCCCGCTGGCTCTAAGCAATACAAAGAGGATAATCCTTAAGCATTTCACCATTGCCAGTGATCACAAGTAAGAGGCCAAGGAGGGTTATTTGAGAGCACAGCTCTTTAATCACCAGCAGGCCTGAGTACCTTTTTGATGTGCAATACTAAAGGAAATGGTTTGAGCTTTATAGGTTGTGTGACTTGTGACTGAGACATACTTGTTTTAGAGGGGTCAGGACCAAGAGGACCACTGAAGGAGTTTGAGACCAGAAGCAACCATCAAGACTAGTTTTAATCTTACTATTTTTATCTTAGAGTATGCAGATGGTTTGAACTATTCAAAATGATATTACTGTCACCTCTTTATGGGAACTTAGCACATTTGTTTGATCAAGCTTATCTGAAGCACCAAGTTAGGATTTGTTGACATATATTCAAAATACTCAGAATGCTTCTGTTGACGCAACTGCTATAAAATAAGTCATTATCAGTTTTGACTGACTAACTTTAAGTAAATGTGAAACAACAGCTTCAAGAAAAAATGTACTATGACTTGTGGAGGATTAATCCCTTCTTGAAACTGCAGTTTAATATCGCTTTTCAAGTCGTGATGGAATGAAAGTAGTCTTGGTTGCATTCAAAACTGAATGCAAGCTTGCAGATTGAGGAGGTGCGGGTTTTACACAGACTAAAAGGAGAAGTTTGACATGTGTATCCAGAGAACATGTTGTTGTTTAACCAGAAGTGGTCAAATAAAAAAATAAAATTAGATCAGTAACATACATTTATAAAATAGATTGCTACATCAGTTGTTTATGAGAAATGCTAGATCAATGTCTTTTAAGTCTTTAGAGCCAGCAAGGAATTTTTTTAAATGCTTGTAAAGTTACTGGAAATTGGGATTAATGGGTAGTTTGTGCCTATATTTTCATTTATTGTTAAAGACAAAACAGAACCATTAGCATAACTATTAACTGTCTATTTGTGTTATTAGTGAGAATTTGAACTGGTCTCTGTGCAAAGGAGAGAGTGGCAGAGAGAGAGGGAGGGAGAGAGAGAGCGAGAGAGTAAAATGCTTCAGCCAACATTGAGGCAAGCACACAGACAGTCACGCATCAAACAAACAGACCGATAAGCTCACCAAACTAAATGCATTTTCACTCAAAAATTTACTTTCATGTAACTTGAGAAGTGTCGTGTCAGTCTGTGCTCTCAATGATAATCTTCCACACTTGCGTATGAAAGGTGATAAAAGAGCTGCTTTGTCCAGCACCACACAGTCATTATTTTATTCTACATTTTTTCTAATCTACTCAGTAGGTAAAAGCAAACAAACACATTCACTTGTTAATGCGGCTTTCTAACTTGCAGCTGGTTGAAATGCATTCTAATTCACCAGGAAGAAAACAGGCATGTGTTCACACAAGCAGTAGACCACTAGGGATCTGTAAATGTCACATAAATCATACACTGAGCTTAAAATTCTTAAGAGGCATTGAGTACAAAACAGACCTCTGTTTGAGGCTTTCTGTTAAACTATATAAAATCACATGAACGTCTGCTTTCTAAAAAAAACAACAACAACATATGAACAGAGACAGTACAGAGTAAAAAAAAAAAAAAAAAGACAATCTAAATGACCATAAATAAATACCTCAAAGTAAAATCACTATAACTGATTTGCTATTTGAAATTTGTGGGACCATCATCTGTAAAATACTTTTTGGTTAACAAAATTTACATACAAAGCAAAACATACCATGTGTTTTTGTTGCATGTAATTAGCTTCCAGATATGAAAATTTAGTGGACTTCCTGTTTTATAGATGACTAATTCTTGAAAAAAAAATTGTGCGCGTGAAAAACCAAAGACAGAAAAATGCAGTGAGGAAATTCTGTTTCTAGAAAAGCAAAGGAGTGAGTATGTCATGCAGTGAGTCTTTTCTGAACATCCTGATAAGCTGTATTAAAATGCAAACACAGACTAGACAGAATAGTAGTTAAAATGACAACATACACCAAACATTCTATTCATCATATTTAAGTATTTAAAATGTCATTTCTGAATTAACACATCCAAAATATAAGAAACGACAAACCATCTAAACATTGTTCCATTCAGTTTTGAGTCACATTAACATACTTTATTTTTGAAGATATTGAAAAGAGAGATTACATTAAAAAAAAAATCTGAAGAGAGAAGTAGAAAAACAAGTATTCCTGGTAGAGGTTATTTTTTTAATCAGTGATTAAGTCGAACACTACAATGAAGTTCAATTAAACTTGTGCTAGGAACTTCTTTGGCCCTCATAATTTTATAGCTACAAAGGCAACTTTCTGTAACTGTAGCCTGCACTCACCTCTTTGGCTCTCTGAACTGCGTCACTTGCAGGATTCCTGATTTGTGGTGAAGACTTGGTGTTTATCTTGTCGTACAGCTGAAAAAGGGAGAATAGATAAATGAACAATCACAAGATTTCTTTGCTCTATTAAAACACTGCAGCATGCAAAGACACACCAGGATCCTTAGAAATTCATCATTGCTCAAAACAAAACTAAACATTATTATAATCAATGTTTAATAACAAGCCAATATGTTGGGTAATATGTTCTGCTTCTTGAGTAAAGGAGAATCAATAAGATGTGAACCTTTTCTCATCCACAAACATTAACATTACACTAACAGTGTTCCTTTTGTTTAGAGCCAATAAACTGACATCACAACTGAACAGCTAGGTTATAGTTTCTCCTGCAAAATGTTAATCATTAAAAGGGATGCATAATTAAATACATTTTCATTCAGAGATGAGGAATACAGTTCTCAACAGTTTTAATCAACTTATTAACAGATGTTTTCCAGTGTTCTGCAGGTGCATTCTTCTGGACGTCAGTCAGCTGAAGCGTGTTGTGATTTATTTGAATATAAATGATCTTGCAAACCACATCCTTTAATATGTGGTTCTTGAGAAGACAGACCACGTCACAAGAAAAATACCATGTTCATACATCTATAAAACATGCATGGTGCACTATTTGTGAGTGCTGTGCACAGGGTATCAGTTCTCTACATATATTAATCTGCATTTCACAACATGACAAAAACAGAACAGAAATTTCAGGGTAAAATGAAGCGAAAAATATGCTTTCTAAAGAACATGTTTGGCTAAGAAAATAATACCCAAGGTTACTCACCACATCCAAAGAAAACCCAACCAAAACCAAAGTTAAACTCCAGACAAAGTTGGTCCTGATAGGATTTCAACCCCTCTGTCCTGTTTCATGAAGGTAGAGTTACACACAGAGCTTGAATGGAGAGGATGGCAGTTTGGAGCTGCTCTTCTGATAGACAGATACTGCTGGAGCCGCAACAGTGAAAATGCATCTAGGCTGACAATAGGTGCTATTGTTTCCCTCGCTATTCAGGATAGGAGTTGAGCTCTCAATGGGGCGACGTGCATTCACAGCCTCCTGGTGATAATCTTACCCACAGAGCACTGGCATAAGGGGCGTGCTCTCCTCTGTGCTTTCCTCTGGCCTGTGGCTATGGAGACAGGCCCTATCATCCACACTGGATTGTACCAAGCTGTACGCCTCTCTATAGAGGCCTTGGTACACACACGCACAAACATAGAGAAAGTGGGGAGAATCCACAGCTGCACTTATTCAAACAGACAAAAAACGCTTAACGCCATAATACAGAAAGACTCATGCGACGTGTGACATGCATTGAAAGATGCAATGAATGAACAAAGAACAATGAATGAAAGTCTATTGAGCTCTCAAATAAACAAAAAAGACGACACTGAAAATTCTGAAATTGGTCTACTGACATTTTTTAATGATCAGCTGTGGTACTCAGAAAAAAAACTTCAAGTTAGTTATGGTTAATTATTTCAAGTACATTAGTGAACATTTGTCATCAAAGTCACCTTTCATCAAAGTTGTCCTAAAACCAAAATGCGTTCTTGTCTTAGGACAACTTTGATGAACTTTTTTGATCCACTTCAAATGTTGACTACTATAGACTGATATCTGTAGCATGGAGGGCTTTTTGTTTGGGTTTGCTGTTAGCAGATAAATTCTGCATTACTACTGGTGTGCAATTACCCACAAATCGCTCCTAAAGGCCAAGAAACCAAATCCAACCCGCATAGACCGGTCATTGCATGGCCAAAATTATGGCTAATAGTTTATAAAATGTGAAATGATGTATGAATGATGATGAGTGAATTCAGGCTTCACAACATTATAATGTACAGTATGATAAATTAATAATCAGTTTGCGATTTGCATTTAACAGTGTTATTAAACGTTCATGTTTTTTATTAAATTTAATGTTTTCAAATATTAACTTATATATTACTTTGAGCATTACATTAAGGCAAAGGTAATATAAATGTTAAAAAAATTAATATGTCAACTCTTTTAAATCTAGCTAATCTAGAAACCTGTACAAACTGATATCCCCCAAAATTGTGTAAAAGTCAGTTAATCAGATTGGAACAGCAGTTTCAGTGAACTCTTGCCATTTTTGTGTGCAATATGCATCAGAAGGTCTGTGAATGGTCCAAGGCTAAGACTAGGTTGTTGCCGATTTATCAAAAGCAAAAAATAAAGAAGAAAAAAAATCCTAATGTGACATTTTCTTCTGAAAAGTTCAAAGCAAGATTTAACAGCATCTTAACACATCAGATTATGTTTAAAGGGGTAATGAACTGAGAAATCAAAATCTTTTGACATATAAGAGGTCATTGTACTATAAAAACAACTCAAAACCTTCTTGTTAGTCTAAAACTGCTTATATCGAAGCCAATCTGCCAAAATGACAAGTTGTGGATTGTGCCACTTTATGATGTAATAGTGTGGCTAAACACCGCCTCCGCAGAAGAGTCTGAAGTGCCTGTTTAGCCCCACCCACCAATTCGTGCATATAGTGTAAATAGTTAGAAATAGAGGCAGTGTCAAGTTGTGCAAAAACACAGTCTTTGCATTGCCTTCCTTCTGATCCCAACGTTAGGAAAGAGTAGATAAGCTTTATTTTCAATTAAGATCCAGACCGCGTCAGTAAGAACTTGGTCCCTTGTTCGCTTCATTTTACCGCAGATTCGTTTACAAACAAGGCACAATTAGATTTTCAAAAATATTGAAACTAAAAGACAATGCTGGATCTGACAGTAATGTCGCAACACACAAGTAACTTGTGAGTGTGAGTTTTTATTACGTGATCACTATTGCTTTGTCTGTTAAACAGATCCTTTGATATGTTCTGAGTATTTATGCGGTTTTAACCTAAATCACAGCAGCGTCCATCTGTGAAGTGTAGGCTGTCAAACATACACAACTGTTAGCCAATCATAGCAATGGGTGTTTACTTCCGAGTCTACAGTACAATCCGCCACGCCAATTCAAACAGCGATTTGATGAGGGGGGATTAAAAACAGGACAGAAAATAGCTTTTTACTTCTAAATTATGTTTTTTGATTTAAAAATCTTGATAACATTTCATGTAGTTTTGGATTTTGTTTTCCCTTAATAATAAAAACCTTCATTTAAAAACTGCATGTTGTGTTCACTTGTGTTATCTTTTACTAATATTTAAATTTGTTTGATGATCTGAAACATTAAAGTGTGACAAACATGCAAAAAAATAAGAAATCAGGAAGGGGGCCAACACTTTTTCACACACTACTGTATGTATGTGTGTCCAACATCATTACACCATTTAATGAAATAATGTGACTGATGTGCAATTATCAAAGCTCAACAAGTGGAGTATCACCCATGAGTAAAACATTTTTAAAATAAGATAATATAATCATGATTAAATATTTATATAAAATGATTGTTTTAATTGTTCAACAGCCCTCATCTATCTGTTTCGGTGATCAAGTCATGTAAGGAGGAGCTGAAATGTGGTTTTGAGACGCTCTCCCCCCTTTAAAAGTGCCTGCACACTTTGTTTTAATGCTAACTGGTGCACAGCTGTGCTTTGAGGTACGCAAGAGTTTAGAGGAACTAAAAAAGGAAGAGCTTAAAAAAGGAAGCTTGCAAAGAGAGATCTGAATTGAGATTAGACAGAGACATTCAAAAGGAAACACAACAGAGAAGTTCTCTGATGGACTGAATTCACAAGGTAAGTTACTCTCCAATTACCTATAGTGTGCATCCTGTTGCATTTCATGGCATTAAAACTTGATGTCTTTTGTAAGTACTATAATGACATCTGCTGTTTTTTTTCTAAGGTCTGATATATACACATGCAATGACAAAAAACAATCCTCAATTTTTCCCCATCGCATCGCCGACCACCATGTCGAAAATTCCCCAGTCAAACTGCCAGACGGACAGCACCAGCTTGCAGGTCCCGCTGGCTATTTTCTATGCACTTTTCTTCGTGTTCGGGTTGTCTGGGAACCTGCTGGCTCTCTGGGTGTTTCTGCGAGTACATCCGAAGAAAAACTCAGTTCGCATTTTCCTCATTAACCTGGCTCTGGCTGACTTGCTCCTCGTGATCTGCCTGCCTTTCCGAGTGGTGTACCATTCCAACAATGACCGGTGGGTGCTGCCGCCATTACTGTGCAGGATGGTGGGCATTATCTTTTACATGAACATGTACATTAGTATAGTCTTACTGGGCTTCATTAGTGTAGATCGTTATCTGAAGTTCCAGAGGTCGTCTTGTAGGCGGGTGTTCCTGCATAGCCGATGGAGCGTGCTTTTCTGCATTGTCATCTGGGCTGTGGCGTTTGTTTGTGGCATTTGCCTCATTGTCCTGAATGCAGAGCATGGTGAATCCCAACAGTGCTTCCAATACAAAACACTGCATGAATCCAAATGGAAAGCCTATTTCAACTTTGCCATCGTGGGTATGTTTTGGCTGGTCTACAGTGCGTTGGTAATCTCCTACGGAAGGATCGGAATGAACCTCCTAACAACCTCCAAAAAGAAACCGGATTTCCCAAATGCTGCCAAGTACAACAAAACAGCATGGAAGTCCTTCTTTGTGCTTTTCCTCTTCACTATATGTTTTGTGCCCTACCACTGTGTAAGGATTTTCTATATCATGTCACAGATAGCAAAAGACACCTCTTGCGAGTGGATAAGTGTGTTGGATAAAACCAATGAAGTAGTTCTGCTACTGTCTGCCTTTAATAGCTGTCTGGATCCAGTCATGTACTTTTTGTTCTGTAGTTCTATTCGCAAAGTGATGCTGAAGATCATCTGTAATAGCTTCTGTCAGCAAAATGCCAAAGGACTGATCAGTTCTATTGACACTCCACAAGAGCTGCCAAATGTCAATGCTGTTGTGCCTATGACAAAGGCTCAGGACGTCAAACTATCAAAAACAACAGATAAAGTGGTGCTATAAATGTTTTGAAAACATATAAGCCATGTCTAAATGTACAGCAAATATTTTTTTATTATGCAAGAATGTGAATATTTACATGTGCACAGCAAAGTTGAAGAAAATCTAATACTGTGCTGTGAACAGAGCAGAGTATATCTGTGCATTTATTTTCGATATTCATCAGAAACACTACCTTTTTAAATAAAAGTTTCATTTCATTTAAAAAAATGATCATACAAAAATAGTTAGCATGCCCTTCAACATTATTTAGTGCATCATGAACTAACAAAAAACAACATTTTTATTAATTTAGGTTAATTAAATAATTTAAAAACATAAAAAATTAGTTTATAAGTATTAATGTTCATTGTTATTTCATGTTTATTACATATGAACTCATTTTAATTTATACAGCTTGAAATGTTACAAAATGTATTACTATATTTAAAAAACTAACATTAACCAATATTAATGAATGCAGTAAAATAATAGTTTACTGTTAGTTCATGACATCTAAGGCATCAACTAATGTTTACAAATTGAACCTTATTGTAAAGTGTTAATTAACAATAATCCATTTAACCTACGGTGTTGTAGCTGTGTTTGCATTGCTTCTATACATAGTATAGCAAATAAAATAAGCATGTAATTTAATTATGTTCTGTTGTGTTTCAAGAGTACATGTGTTTATGATCAGTGGGCTCTAAATTGCTCACACGAATACATGCTAGTTTCTTTCTGTCCTTTTCTAAGTGCAAACACATATTCTATGTACTGCAATCATAGCTGGGATCATTTGTAATTAACTGCATCCACTGTGTATACTGTGTAAATATAGTAGAAGCGTCTGCAGCAGTGCAGAGATCGTTTCCGCACCGAGTCTATGTTTGCTCGCAAGCAGCAAAGAGAGAGAGAGAGAGAGAGAGAGAGAGAGAGAGAGAGAGAGAGGGGCTCTACATAAGAGTGGCTTAATATTATGTAATGAAAAAAGCACAGGTGGTCACTCAAAATGGCTTACTCACTGAAAAATATTTAAATGCATACACAAAGATTAATCATTTTTATGTCAGTTTTATTATAGCTATATATTAATTAATTAATTAATTATCAGTTCATTAATTATGCAAAATTTATTAAAAACGATACTATTAAATCTCAGGTTAAAGGAAACAAATGCCTGAGTTTGGTGCAAA